AGTCTCATACTTGGCTATAGCATAACCAACAATGAAACGGCAACCGAAACCAATGCAAACAGCTCAAAATCGACTTTGGGAGAAGACACCGGTGCAGCTGCACCAGTGAAGCTGCTGACAACTGCCGACGAAATATTCGCACGGCTGGTCTTGCTTTTCTGGCTCCATATAGATTTCCAAGAAGACGAGCCCCAAGTTTTTGAACTTATGTCTGAGTAGGTGGAGAACGATTGGGTGGAATGGTTTGGAGGTGCAAATGGAGATGGAGATGATGCCAGCTTTGAGGTGGAAACCAACGAAACTAGCGGATATGGTGCAATAGGTGCTAAACTGGATTTCTTCAAGTAAGAAGTTGACGCTTTGAATGACAAGGCTGTATTTGAAGAAAATGCACATTCAGAATCTGAGCTAGAAGAAGCTGGTAAGCTGGAAAAGCCAGACACAGGCGTGGTTGTAACTTTCAAACGGCTGCTGGCACTTGAGCCAGAAGAAACTGCTAAGCGAGAGGATACTGGTGATATCGTAGAAGTTCCTGCCAAACTAGAAGTCAAACTAGAAGTACGATGCTGAACAACCGAACTTGAAGAAATAAAGCTTGAATGTCCTCGAGAAGCTGAAGAAACTGGTCCTGTCAACGATGTAGTCAATGATTTCACAGACGAATTTGGTGAAGATTTCGTGTACACAGAGCTCTTTGTCTTAGACTGCAAAACACTCGTGTCCTGAGCCGACGTGCTGTATTTCGCCTGTGCAATCTGCACTTCCAGGTCATCCAGATCAAACACAACATACGCAGAACTTAGCCAGAAATCACCAAAGGTGAAGACATCGTCTGAACTGGCCTCTGCCATCGCCAAAGCACACAATTGGTCACCTTTGTATTCATATTCACTGGGATCATCAGACATTGTCACGAGTAACTGGTTAAAAGGCACTTTGATGGTGATTCCTCCGATATGAAAGTCGTATCCGTCATCTGGATCAGGAATATTGCACCCAGTAACATAGTAGCCAAAGTAGTCAGACCACTTGGAATCGATTTGAGCTGCCATAGATTCAAGAATATCGCCGGGAACGTATAAAAGGGTAGTTCCTGAATCGAGCAAGCCATAGTAAGCGCCGTGTGCCAGCGTTTTCTTGCCAAATGAAACACCTGCAAATTCGATCAAGAAGCTTTTGACGGTGGTGGAATTGTGGCCGGTGAGACTCACGGTTTCGAGGGTTCCTGTGTATTTAGAATGGTCAATACCACCAAACAGTATAGAGCCGTGTGGTGCGCTGACATTGTTGAGAAACAGTGAGTACAAATTCTTCTTGATGAGCCCGTTTGCTTTCATCTTGGCTGGCAAATTGAGATAGTTGTATGGCGAAGTCAGGCTATCCAGAGTCTGCTCCAAATCCGCAAGGCCAACTCCAAATATCCCAGTAATATCACTTGCATTAGTGTCATTGACAACGGCAAAACTAAGATCTTTAATCTCAAACTGGCCACCAGGAGAGACAGTATCATGACCCCAGAACCCGAACGCATATGTTCCATCACCATACTGGATTTTGAACTCAAGAGTATCGTTTGCTGTGTATGTCGAAGATGAGAAAGTTTGAAAATTATCATCTTCAACAGAACAATTCGAGTAGTACCCACCAGAGCAACTGCTACCCAAAACCCACACATCAGAGGACCCGGTATCTAAAGCACCAGCAATCAGCTGCGGAGGTGTCCCAATGGCAAGACTGAGCTGGTAGTAGCTGTTATCGATATTTGTCAATGGAACTTCGTATGAGTTATCGAACCTCCGAACAATATTCACGTCCTGCGGTTCAGATGAGGTTTCTTGCAGTGTGCGAGAGTAGAACGGGCTTGAAAATGGTCTCTGTAAGCCAAATGCTGCGTCAAATGCCGCGACACGGCAGATCAGCGCGGCCAATACTAAAAACATCGTAGTCACTTCGAGGGTTCGAATAAGCACGAAAATGTGGAGAAAAGAACGTTGGAAAGGAAAAAGCACGGGTAAAGTATAAAATTGAGGGATTCAAGAGGTATTTGTATACATACTGTTGGATGGGGTTGGCCTCACAGGTGTAAGTGCAGCATGCAGACATAAGATGGCCAATTCGGGGAACAGCACCCTTAAAATGCTCAATTTGTATCGAATTGCTGCCCATTCTGAAACATTGGTGAATATAATCCAGATGTTTCTGCCAGAAAACGTCAAGAGCTCAGCAACTGAGTAGCCGCATGTCTCATCTCCAAAATTTCCTGATCGGGCGTCTTCAAGGAAGAGCCCCGTGATCTCTTAAGATTGACACCCTAGTATATCTCATTTTCTTCATCATCAGCAAACAATGGAATATCCATCTTTCTCAGCTTTATTGTGCGCTTGGTTGGGCTGCTTTTGGTAGGCGAAAGTGACCTTTTTGGCCTATCAGGAGACTCCACGGCCTTTACAGGCGACATAGACCGCGAGCGGGTCATCCTTCTTGGGCTCTGCGGAATCTCCTGGATTGTTTCTGCCTCCAATGAAATATGTACAGGCTCAGCAACCGGCTCTGCAACTGGCTCAGCCCCCAGGTCAGTCTTGGACTTCGAAGCAGGGGCATGCTTTGATGGAGATCTCTTCGAAGGGGATGATAATTTTGTGGGAGATTTCTTCTGAGGGGATCTTTTGACAGGAGAAAGCGAAGCCTTGGCCTTTCCAAGCGGAGACAATCTCACGTCTTCAGTGTTGATATTCTCCTTGGAAGACTCAACAGTAAGGGGTGTCAACGCACGGGCACGTCTCGCTTTTGCAGGAGAAATGGCAATACTGGTGTCTTCCGATTCTAGCTCGGCGATTCTCGCTGCTAGCCTGGCTTCTTGCTGGTTCAGAGCAGTCTTATGATCTGTCTCCATCTTGGTAATCTCTGACTTCAGTTCGGCGATTATAGATTCCGAGTTCCCATTAATGTTAGTCAACTCCGCAATCCTATCAATCAGCTCCTGCTTCTCAATCACCATCTCGTCGATTGCCCGAGTTAGCTTCTGATTATGTGTGGCCATATCTTGAGCATTCTTATCAGCTTCCTCAAGCTTCTCCTCTAACTCTCTCACCTGTATCTTCAGCTGGGTGATGGGATTCTGTCTCTCTGGGTTTGAAACCGATCTCGCGGGCGCAAGTGATTGTCTCGCAGGGACATGAGAGTGCTTCAAAGAAGTCACGCGTTGGACAGACTTGGCAGATCTGGCCGGAACTGGAGCTCCGCGCGCCGGGTTTGCATAGCGTATGGTCTGCATTGTGGTAGCCTCATCAGCGTAAGGGTCGAGGTTGGCCACAAGCATCAGAACAGAAGCACTATTTTTGAGATACTCGTGCAAAATCAATCTCGCAAGTCGGTTTGTACGCAGCACAGACCTGTCGAGACCTCCAGTCTTCAGACGCTGAAAGGTACCCCCAAGCTCTGTTAGTGCCATGGGAGCGCCTCTTTCAAATGAGGCCAGATCTACAAGCGTCAACCTTGTTTGGACAAAGCCCGTACCATCAACCTTCACCAAGTTGACGTACACAAAACAACTG